GTAATTTAATCTAGAAAAAGTGATCAAATGAAATTAAGCTGAAACAAAAGCTAACTGTTCCATCCTAACACATCTTATGTATATGTGTGTGAGAGAGTGAAAGACTCACTTCCATGTCTGAGCCCTCCTGGGTGAGTTTCTTCTCTAACTTGTATCTGATATTCAGGTTGCCTAGGTGGAGGTTAATTCATTATCTGCAGACATTGTGGCTTTGTTACAGCTTTGAGCAAGACACACAGGGACATGTCAAGTGTATCCGCTTAAGATAGAACAACCAAGGAGCTAGTGCAGTGGTTCTCAACCTTCCTAATGCCCCATGTATTTTCATTGTTACAGAGGGGTCGTGACCCACAGCTTGAGAACCACTGAGCTAGTGTTTCACTCACAAGTGAAATTTACGATAGGCTCTGACATTCCTCAGCACACCTGCCTATTTTCTTTTAATTGCTTACTAATTTTCCTTTCTTAATGTTACTGGGGTCAGGTTACCACTGTTAGGAAAAGAACATATATTAAGCATCATTCTCAGGCTTTCTGACACCTGTGCCTTAGCCTCTGGCTGTGGGAGAATGAGCTCGTTTTTTATAGTTTTGTTTCAATTTGACTGTGGTCCACTGTAAACCATAGGAAGCAACCCCAGGAAATCTTCGGGTGATGTGCCTACTCCGTGTAGATAATCTGCCCATCATCCATTCTTGGTAGGCTGTGTATTTGGAGCATGATTGTTTTTGCCTTCTGGTAAGCAATCCTTAGCTAAACTAAGGTAAAGTCTTTAATACATTTCTCTCTCAAAGGACTTCACATTCAGATCCCTCCAAGATCTATCAGAATTGTAATTTTGCTTTTACAGAACCCTCTGAAATGATGTTGGGGTTTACATGTATCAGTTCACTTTATGTTGGCAAAAAATACGACATTTGAAGTTACCCTTCTTTTGTTTTAACAACACAAAAATATGACTTTTATTAATTATATCACAAGGTGCAGGACATAGAGCTCAGTGAATCCTACCTTCTGAAAGAATTCTGACAAACGTTTTTTGATTAAAGCCAGACTGATTAGACTCCTGATTAATTCTGCCTCTGATAGATGATACAGTTTAAGTGACAAATAGATTGCCTCCACTTAGTCACGGTTCCCAGGTTATGATGACAAAGGACAAGCTATTTGTCACTGAAATTGTGTAATCATTCAGAAACAGAATTAATCAA